CTCTTACAAGATCATTTAATTCTGACTGTGTTATTTTGTGCGGTTGGTGGCATGACGTGCTCGGTATAAAATCAGGATCTCTTGACGTTGATGGCATATCTTCTTCCTGACGAATCACTCGATCGCCATGATCTGATTCGTTTTCTGATTCGCAAGTGTAGGATTCTGGGCGTTTTGGAATAGGATTTTCGTCACTGTGAGGCACAGGTCTCATCGCAGATGGTATGTTTGGGTAGTTAATAACCGATTTTTTTTCTTGGACATACCTGTGGCTTTTCCAACACAAGGTACCATGCAAAAGTAACAATCATTAATATGATTTGTAGGCTCTCTCCAAACCATTGGGACAGCAAAGCGCATGGACCGTTTTTTGCCATTTAACCAGCTCCTCAGACTTGAAGCACATGTATTACAGCAGATGTGGGCTGCCCACTGTTTGTCTTGATCACCTAGTTTACAACCGAAATAAAGCTGATATGCCTTTGTTATTAGTGGAGTAATAGACCGTCTTTGAGACGCAAAAGTCACATCACCACACACGTAACAAAACTGATCTGGATTGTTTACACACTTTCTAGACATCTTGCATGAACGGTGTCCGCCAACTGAGGAAAAAATGGCTAATATAAAATAATATAATGTACACGTTTGTATAACGTAACACAATCATGCCGATTACATCATCTTTCCTTGCCGAATATAAAAATGTAGCACGTGCATTCTTGTGAATTACAGTATATTAACACTGTCACAGCAGGAACACATATAATTACCGTATCTCTAAAACTTGAACTAATATTGAAAAAAAAGTTTCATTCCGGTTTTATAACATTAAAAATAGTAATATTTTGTTGATTTATTTAGTATATTTTTTGGCTGTTGATCAGTGTAATTATTGTGAAATTGGCCTTGTTCAATCGAAAGACTTTATTCCTTACCATATTCGTTTACATCAAGGCTTCCTTATGTTACTGTTTTCTTCGAGGAACACAGGACCTACCCATTTTAGTTACTACATACAGAGTAGTATAAAAAATATGGTATACGAGGGATGTCTTTTAAGTGTTGTTCAACATCTAAAGATTTTATTTGATTTGGCAATAGGTTACAGAATTTTAATCCGTGGTAGTTAACACCATTTCTAGTTTTGAGAAGGTGATGACGATTTGGACACAAATATTCTTTGTTTCTGGTGTTGTAACTATGAGTATCTTGATGAGCTGAGTACTTTTTTCTTTGTTCCACTTTTGTTTTACGAGGGATTTCTTTTAAGTTTTGCAGAAAAATAGTAGTCCGCGAGGATCGAACGTCAGTACTGAATCTTAACATCACCCTTTAGTAAACTTAAATTCAAAGTTTCCCAACAATACGTGCAGTGTTCTCACTACAGTGAAATTTGAAGTGTCACCAAGTCATTAGGAAAATGGAACTCAACCGAGAACATTTTCGCGCCATAATTTATTACAACTTTCAGAGACAATTATCGCAACAAGAATGCCTTGCTGAGTTACTGTCTGTTTTCGGCAACGAAGCGCCACATCAGTCGACAATTTCCCGTTGCTATGGAGAATTCAAACGTGTACGGGTGAGTCTTAGCGACGATCCCAGGGTGGGTGCACCAATTCCGGAAACTCAAAAAATGTGTACAGCATTGTTAGTAGTGACAAATAGTGGATTTACTGTTATGAACCAGAAAATAAACCACAGTCGGCTGTTTGGGTGTTCCAAGGTGAAGAAAAGCCAACAAAAGTCATCCGTTCTCGAAGTGTTTAGAAAAGGATGGTCGCGACATTCGTGTCAAAAGCGGGTCATATTGCAACAATTCCTCTTAATGAGCAAAGAACTGTAACTGCGGATTGGTATACCACCATTTGTTTGCCAAAAGTCATCACCGAACTTCAAAAAATCAACCCTCAACCAAGTCATTGCAAGCTCGCACACAGCCCAAAAAACAAGGCAATATTTAACGGAAGTCCTAACGATTTCTTTACTTTCCCGAAAATTAAAAATAGACTACGTGGTCAAGGGCTCCAGTCGAGTGGAATAAGTGCTTCGAAGATTGGTTCGAGCGCGTGCAGATGTGTATTAATCTTCGTGGAGAATACTTCGAAAAACAATAAAGTCATTTAAAACTACGTACCGTGTTGTTTTATTTCCATATGCAAAACTTAAGAGACATCCCCCGTATAATATATACTTCTTCGCTGAGAAAGCTATCGTCTGCACTGTTTGCGATTAGGATCCTGCAAAATTCGCAAGGAAATTAGAAAAAATCCAGCTTATGTAGCCGATGGTGGAACTTAGACGACAACCCCGGAATTGTCAGTGGAACTGCGCTGTATGGATGGTGACGACAAATACATATTTGCGTCAACGCAGATAAATTGAATTCCTCGACGATTTATCTTCTTTCATACAGGGTGAGATTTCAGCGTGGGCCTGGTCTATAGCGCCGTTACCAATAAAAGTACAGTTTAGACCAGAAAGACACATATTTTTTTCTAATAAAGCTCATTTTCACTTGAGTGGATTTGTCAACACGCAAAGTTACCGGTATTAGACCGCAGAAAATCCCAAATTAAAGCAACAAGGACCTTTGCATTCGCGTTGTGTTACAGTTTGGGCGGCCATGAAGGAATCATCGGTCCCTATTTCTTCGAAAAGGACCAAGGTCATCAAAATACATTTCTCATGACTTTACTTTGTAATTTTTCCCCCACCCTGTATATGAATAAAAGTGATTCATAAACATTCATCGACCCTCCTTTCCATCTAAGATTTTAGGGTTGGTGTCACCCCCGCCCAGGGGGCTGCACGTGTTAACGTGATTTTTTGCCAAACTTATGTCCTCCTCGAAAACAAATAGAGCGTTTTTCAAAAAAAAACCGAGCTGCCAGTAAATGCGTCTGTTTCGTTTTCGATGCGCTTATAAATCGCAGTATGTAGTATTTCTCAAAAAACTCATATAAAACAGTCTGTTTTTATTATCTCTAACGGATTTACTGGGATTACATCTGTCCATGACGAGAGAATGTTGTGCGAACGTCTATTAAGGAACATTTCAGTTTCATTTCAGCCGTAGGGCTCTAAAAATTGAGTTACCCTACTTTCACGAGCAGATTCCGAGGCTTTTCAGAGAGTCGTACGAAAAAACCTCACATGCGCAAGCCCGCCATTATTTTTTTGTCGGATTCTGTGTGGAAAAACGTCGAGCTCGCGGATAAAGGTCCTCGGTACACCGACAAAAGAACAAAAAGACTCAACAAGTGAAGCCGGCAAAATAGAATTTTAATTATGGCACAACGGAGCTGAAAAGGGGGCGGCAGAACGGGGAGAGAGAAAGAGAGAGCGAGTTATTCCAGCGACGAAATGGAAATCGTATGGGGAAAGCTAAAAAGACGCATAAGAATCGAGGTATACCGCACCTAAGGGACTATATTAATAAACAGGCAAGCGGAATCGCACAACAACTTTTTGTTGCTTGAGTCAGTAGACAACACTGTGAAGGGCTTGCAAGCACAGCGGCTCTGACAGTGAACAAAAATGAATAATAATAATATATACATATACATGTACATGGTACATACTGAAAGTGGGACACAGCTGGCAAAGTTTAGCAATGCTACTCTTACACTTAACCAATTCAATCAATAAATACAGTGATGTTAAATAATTTAAAATATATATATATATATATATAACTTGAGACGTGGTCATTGTCGTCTAGACCAGTTAGGTGAAAAATTAAAGCTTCCGCCTTTTGTTGGGTACTTCGACAAAATTTAAGCAAAGAGGACTCTTTATACTTTTTTAATTCTCTCTAGCTTTCAATGGACTTTGCCATCATCATCAGGAGAGTAGTATGTGAGGATGATTGCAATCATCAAGTGGCTTCACGATGTAATGCTTTCATGTTTTTAAAAAAATTTTGATCTGTTTTTAACTTTTTCTTGTCATATTTTATATAATTTTGACCATTGTACCATCTATCCAGCTTTCACCATGTTACTGGACATTTCCCTCATCCTATACGTAAACAACAATTAGCAACATCCTCACATACTACTCTCCTGATGATGATGGCCAAGTCCATTGAAAGCTAGAGAGAATTAAAAAAGTATAAAGAGTCCTCTTTGCTTAAATTTTGTCGAAGTACCCAACAAAAGGCGGAAGCTATATATATACAGGGTGACTTTGAAGTTGAGTCATTAATTTTCAGATAATGATTGTAGAAGGAAGATAAACCAAAATATGTGTGTAAAAATAAAAAAAAATAAAAAAAAAAATTACGTTGTTTTATAAAGTATCCTCCCGACAAGTATTTCAGTGCGGACCTGTATTTGATCGTGAGGTCTTGGAGCACCGGCATGCCGTCCCCTGTGAGGTCTTAAGTCACCTGATTCACGAGCCCGTTGTACTACATTAACAAAGGCACGAGGGGTTGGTTGCACTCGATTGGGAAACCGATCCGCATAAACATGTGCCATTTTTTATTTCGTTTGAGCCACGCAACAGACACCACTATTCACTCACCCGTTACCGACTGATACTGACTGTATACAACTGAATAAAATAATTGTAAAAACATAGTTCCAAATTCTTTCGCTTTTTGTTTCCGATGCGATGAACCGATAAGGCGGATTATATCCGATATTGCCAGACACGAGCACATAATATTATTATTGAGACAGGGCGGTACTCAAACCTCCAAAGGGCTATAACTTTGTTACTTTAATTTTACCAGAAAAATGGTAAAGGAAAAAAACATTTCTTTTGATCAGATCTACTCACTGTTAAAATAAATGACTCAACTTCGAAGTCACCCTGTATATATATATATATAGGGTGGCGCATCGAAAATGAAACAGACGCATTTACTGGCGGTCGAGTGGAATAGATTTATCTAGACTCCGCCTGTAGGCATAAGATGTGACGTACATTTGTATTCAATAAAGACCTTTCACTATTATGATTTTTCTGATATTTTTCTTTTCTTTACAGACTGGATCTGGCACACCGACCTGGACTTTCTCGTCACGCATCGCGACCGCATGGTCGTGCTCAGCTTCATCGCCAACAGCACCGCCGGCACCGCTCCCTTGCGGTCAGTACCACCAACTGCTGTCGGCTTAACCGAGAAACCGACAGCCGCGCAATTCGTGAGCGGGCCAGCGATGACGCACATGGTTGTCAAGACGCTCAAGGACATCGTCGGACATGACAATCATACCGATTGGGAGAACAGTAGTAAGGATATCGGTGAGTGACAGTATCGAAAATATAAGAGGCTTGATCAATGGTAAGCCATCTTTGGTCAGGCTAGCCAATTCTAACCACTTAAGTGACGTTTGTAAACGCCACACTGGTCGGGTCTTGTTAACAATATGTCCGAATATGATCAGCGTGTGGTCATTCAGTTTTTGTGTACAAACATTGTAAATTCACACGCGAATTCAAGCAGTTCATGGAAACGCATGTATTGCGTATCCATCTGTTAAGGAATTGTGTCGAAAATTTAAGAGTGGAAGAGAGGAGACGAATGATAAGTCGCGACCAGGTGCATTGACAGGAATGTGGCATGTGTGTTCCTCGCCTTTTGTCAGGATAACTCTACGGGGTTGCCGTTTGAGTCTAACTTCCTTTCTAAACTTGCAGAATCCTGGCCACAATCGGTGCAGACGATTTTTTCTAGCCGACAGCTTTCTCAGCGGAGAGCAAGGAGCACAAAAGGCCTCTAATTGCCGCTATTACCAACTGGGGCGGTTTTAAATGCTTCTCTCGGATCGGATTTTTTAATGGAGAGGGAGAATTCGAATGGGATTAATCTTTCTCCATCACTTCGTTCTTCTTATTTCACCCTGCCAGCGTTGCGCGGCGGCTGGTATTACAAGAAAGTTGTCTACTGAGAGTTTTCAATTAAATACTAGCTGCTGCGGAACTGATATCTCCTCGGCTTCTACACTTTTTCAACGGTTCTTTTCTACGAGTATTTCTTGCGCGCTGCATTGAAATATAGGCTGCTTTCATGCAAAACTGTGCTCGGTCATTAGTTAATGAGACCTTATGTACCTTGGTTTTTGGATGCAAATGGTTGTGGTTTGAGCGTCCCCTAGTTCCAAGCTCTAGGAAAAGAAATAACAAGTAACCGATGTTGGATCTCCGGCGCTAAAGGAGATACAAACCCACAAGGTACACAACATTTATTGAACAAAAGAAATAAAAACTAATTTTAAAGAAGTACCTGGGAAACGAGCAAAAGAAAGTTATTTTAAACTACCACCCAGCTAAATTGTTACCGGTAAACCTAAAAAACTCACTAATGCAGGCCGATTTCTATTAAAATCTCCACAACCCGATAAAACCGCAGCACCGCGTGTGAAATTTATTCACTAAATCGGGTTGTGGCGCTGTACTGCCTACACGAGACGACCGAATCGATGCATACTGGAAATATAAAACGCAAGACTTGTGACTTAGCCTATTGTGCAACCGTTCAGCACCGCCCCTGCACCTGACCATTAGCGACGCATGCTAATCAAGTTAAGGGTCGCATCCCCCGGGGTGCTCAGCGCCCCTGAAACATCTCGAGGACGCCGCGTTCTCTGCGCTGGTGAATACCGCACATGAGGAGGCGCTTCGTTTAAATTCCTCTTTTAACCCATTACCCGCTAGGGGTGCGGATTTCGTCATTAGGGAGACAGTTTAATTTTCTTTCGGAACGCGACTTGCATACAGGAAGGGCTTAATGACGTGATGTCAGCGAAGGGAGATATCATGTTGCTTTTACCAGGGCTTTAAGTTTCATCAAATTGTAAGGAATCATGTATGGTATATCTGAAGTCACTTGAAATAGCATAAAAACCTTGGTCGGCGCGTCCTTTGTAATTTCATGACGTATCATAGGCGTGCGGAAATTTATTTAGAACGGTAATAATAATGTTTTTATATCACAATAAATTGATTTTACTATCTTCTTATTTTTTTGATTTGGGATAAAAAATACTTATATTGGGAGTTTAATTTATGTTGACTGAAAGTTAAGTAATGGAAAAATTACAGAATTCCAACGTTTGACATATTCAAATATTTACATAGCAGGTAGGTATATAAAAAGGTATATAAAGACTTACATTATAGGTATTTATATATCATCCTCGCCTTCGGAGCTGTCGCTAGAGTCATCTTGTAGATGAATTACAACGGGATTTACAGGAGGCAAAACACAATATTCATTTTCTTTTTCAATAATATGCCTAGAACACTGCTTCCATAGGTCTGTGGCAACAATATGAGATACTGCATCTCTTATTGTGGCCAATAGCGATTCACTTAATTAAGGGGTCTGATATGTTTTCTTACTTTTTTTTTAAAGCAGCCCAGACCAACTCAATCGGGTTAAAAATGCAGTAATAGGGAGGGTAGACGTAATACTTCATGGCCATTTTGCTGAAGCAGATTGTCAACAACATACTCTTTTTCAAATTTTTGTCTTTTAATAAGATCCAATAATATGGCTTTGGTTGATTTTTTTGTGGTATTTCCATTCCTTTATCCTTCATAAAATCAATAATGTCTTGTTTTTTGTGCCTGTATTCGGAATTTTGTTTTTCTGTCGGGAATGGTATGGCGCATTGTCCATAATAATCACTGAATTTGGGGAAATGTTTGGTATTATCTGCTGTTCTATCCACTTTTCAAATAAGTCGGAGGTCATGTCCTCATGATAGTCGGCACATGATTCTTTGATATTTTTGGCAGATAACAGCAAGGCATTAGGTATAAATCCATTTTCACTGCCAGCATGGAGAATAATGATTCGTTTACCACGGTTGCATGGTGCATTTAAATGCACTTGTTGCTGTCGTCAAGCCAGCCGTACTGCACAACATCATGGGTATCATACCACGTTTCATCCAGGTAAATCAGATTTCTTTTCTGCTCTCTATAGATTTTAACTTTGTGCAAAAATTCTTGGCGCAATTCAACGATTCGAGACGACTCCATAATCACCATTCTTTTATCTAATTTTTTGTATTGAAAACCACACAGTTTTACAATACAGTGCAGTGAGTCTAAGCATTTGTAATTATAAAATCTTCAGGATAATCATTTAATTTATCCCGCATCATTTCCAACGTGGGCACCAAATTTTCTTTATAAAATCCGTATGTTATACGACGAATATCTTCCTGAAAACCCACGTCTATTCTTTTTAATTTTTGCCCTATGCGCTTTCTGTGGAAGGAATGGTTGACTACATCTCCCCTTTTTATAACCCGATAAATGGTAAACCGACTGATTTTTGTCAGGATACAAATTCTGTTTAAAATTTGATTTTGCGAGGAATCTGGATTTTCGTTTTTCAGACAATCATACATATTTAGGATTACTCTTTGGGTCTGTTCCTCTAAATCTTTATGAAAGAATTCTGCCTGCACAGGTTCATCAACCATCTCCTCGTGGCATGGAGCATTTTCCCAAGGTCTCCAAAGACCCATATTTACGACACACAAGAACAATCAACAAAACAATTAAATCAACAAGTAAACTGAGTATTCAAAAGTCAAAAACACACAAACTAATAAAATCTATGAAAAAACACGGACAGACTAAAGAAAACACGTTTATTCACCGCTACACGGCACTGGCTAAACTGTTTCAATTTTCAGTAGCCACCTGCACTTGTTCGGAGCTCTGAAATACACGCTTTCTCATTGGCTATGTCCACGCATAGGCGTGCTTTACTCCACGTGGACCGGTGAAACTGCCTTTGATCTTATACGGGGGATATTTGCTGCGAAATTTGGCGATTTTTGCAGCAACAGAGCGTGTTAAATATGGATATATAATACGCACCCGGTATTTCACAGTGTTTCAAGTGACTTCAGATAAAGTATACTGTATTTTCAGCAATCAATTAGATTATGTAGATGTATGGATGGTACCGAGAAATAAATCGAAATGTATAGTCGTTCCTTCAGGAAGTTTAGCACTGTGTCCTCTCACAATTGCCCACTCTGTATCGTTCCGAATCTCAAACAAAAACGAAAGCAAATCCGAGTGACTCAATCAATTACACCTAATGTTATCTGCCGGATAATTCCCGAGATTACTACCGATATTGTGAAACGCCAAAATAAAATAAAGCAACTACTCCGCATTAGTGGAAGAATAATTACGTTTGAGTTTCTCGGCGCAGCCGGTATTAAGGTGAAATTAATTAAATAACTCAGGCATAGCTTTGTGCTCGAACACTCTGTTACCTTTGCGGATTCGGATTATTTAATATTGAGCCGCAGCCGAGTTTGGGGCTCTTCCTTAAAGTTCGGAAAGCGCCCACGGAGTATATAATGTTTGCGAAATGATAGAATTGCATTTGGAACAAGTTTTTCAATTCGTCAAGCGAGTGACTGAGTATATTTTGATTGCATCGATTCACTTCTACATCAAGCACGGCTGATACATTTTTTTTTTGTTACAGAAACAGGATTTGGGAGCCCCGTAAGCATCGAATACTTGAACTTAGCTCTAGCTCTAGTCATCTATTCAGTGAGGTATCCAGCGATCTTCTGGGCTACGAACAAATGTCTAGGGCTCATCTTCTCATTTCAGCTGCTTATCAACGGCCTCCATACCTTAGTCTCATTTGCTGGAATGTCAATTTTATACAAGGTGAGAAATACTTTCAATATTTCTAAAGATAACTTCCTCTTGATTCAAAATAAGTTTCTATGCTTTACTATACTTTCTTGTGTAATGTCTAAAAGCAAGGTCTCCGCAATGCACGTAGTTTCACGTTCTTCTTAGCAGATCATCAGATTCAACTCTATTATTTAAATAACTATAAGGCGTTTTCTTTGGTTTCAGGTGCATGTTGTGGGACCTTCCAAGGCTCTACCACTATTATCCCATAACGTACGAATCTACAGCTTCGCAGGAGACTCGCCTTTCCTGCTAAATCCCGAAGTTACTTTCGCGATGTACATTCTGTCTACGTTGCTTGTACTAGCGTCCAGCATCGTCCTGTATTTCTACGGTCATACCCGGTAAGTCATAGTATTCTCTGTTCAGTGTATCGACATATATTCTGCTTGAATGGAGAAGAATTCTTTTTATCTGATTTAGGGTCGATTTCACTAGGAATAAAACCTTACGGGGTCTTCAACCAATTAGGGAACAGCTTATTGAAATGCAATTTGACGGAAGCTGTCAAAGCTGATGTAATTTCTATTGATGTATTGAATAAAATCGTGAAAAGCAGTTGTTTTATGAATAAGGACACATTCTAGATGTAATACCATGCCTTTGAGCTTTTTAGAATTAGGATAACTTTCATAGAATTTCGAATTTCTATCATTTCATAAAAGACGGGAATGGACCAATGAAAATGCAAGAAATAATAGGTCGATTTTGTCGCTATTATATTTAATAGGATATTTTAACTGTCTTTGACGACTGTTCATGCATGGCAATCTAGTTTTGTCTCTGTAGCATATACAGGGTGTTGTACATAAATACTTACCTATCGAAATGTACTGATTTTTTTTTATTTCGTAAAAAGAGGATATAAATCGTATTCCAACTAGTTCATCATGTCAAAAATGTTATGTCAAAAAAAAGATTGCTAATTTATGATTTAAAAATCTACACCAAATATATACTAAGTGACATATAAATCCGAACACCCAGTTTAAATGGTTTTATTTTAATAAAATTTTGTATAAGTACTTAATGAAGCATAATAAGTAAATGATAGAAATTTCAAAATGATTGCACTGCTTCAAAGCCCTTTGACCTTTAATAATGTGTGGATGCACCCTGATGTGCTACGCATTCTCCAACGTGCCTAGGCATGCTTCTGATCAGGTGGTCAATGTCCTCCTGTGGTATCTCATTCCAGGCAACCACAAACTCCTCTCGAAGTGCTTCTAGAGTCTGAGGAGGACGTTGCAAATTGAGCAATCTCCTACCCATCATATCCCACACGTGCTCAATTGGGGATAAGTCGGGAGATCTTGGTGACCATGGTAACAATGTGACATCATTATGTTGAATGAAGTCTATTGTGACTCTTGCAACATGTGGTCGGGCATTATCTTGTTGGAAAGTCTTTCAACAAAAAACTGTGGATTCCTCCTTTCATCACGTCGACTTCTAACCCTAGCACGACCACCGTGCATGCCTAAACAAAATCGAGACTCGTCACTAAAGACAATACTGTTCCATTCCTGATCCCAGAGTGACCGTTGTCTGCACCACTCAAGGCGATTACGTCGGTGTTCTCGAGTTAAAGGGAGGACCCAGTGTGGCCTGTATGAAAACAAGACAAAACTTCTCATTCGTCGGTAAACACTTCGCATGCCAATAGGTCTTCCGTGTTCTGCAAACCATTCATTTGCAATGGACATGGTAGTGGAGAAACGGTCCCTTAAGGCCAATAATCTTAAGCAGGGATCTTCACGGTATGTTGTTCTACGGCGGCGTCCAGTGCCCCTTGCTCTTTGCGTACGGCCTTCTCGAAGCCATGCCTGACAACACCTAACCACAGTGTCTACACTTCTTTGCACTCTAACTGCAATTGCCCGAAAAGAAAGTCCAGCTTCCCGAAGTCCCACTATACGGCCCCTATCAAACTCACTAAGTTGACGAAATCGTACAGGTCCCCGTACTCTAGGCATCGTAACCGATCGTAAAGGATGTCAGGAATCAAAATCCGCCAACGTTGATTCTTTACTGCGGCTGAAATATTCATTTTTAGAGCGTTAGTGAATTAAAAAAAAGCAGTATAAAAACCGGAATGTCCAACTGATAAGGCTGAAAATTTTTTCACTTGTTATTTACAGTAAGATAAATACATTCACCAACTTTTATTAAAATAAAACCATTTAAACTGGGTGTTCGGATTTATATGTCACTTAGTATAAACAAACAGCACATCCCTGGGTCTTAAAACATCGACATTTGAAAATGTATACGCATCCCATTATTCATCGTCATCAAAAATACCTATTTACAAAATATTTACAAGACTTATTTATATCTTTTCTTTGTATTTGATTTGGAAGACGTCTGGAATCTCAATCGCTTTTGAAGTTTTCTGCAGTGTTGCCGAACCGAAAAAAGAAACGAAATTGGTAAAACTGAACAACGAAAAATATTCAAGTTTATGAGCGTAAGGACATCAAAAACCGTGAATGATATTGTGCGAATATCAATCTAAGGTTCCACAGCGGTACCGATGAGCGGCAAGTAAATGACTGAATGTTTGGAAACGAGCGATATCTATTAAATTTTTGGTAGAGTCTTTGTCATCAAGTAGGTGTTTTATGGCTAACTGCAAGAGGTTTATAGGAAAAAGCATACTGTAGATGATTTTAAATCAGCAAAATCGCATATCAATTGAAGATAATAATATAAACATGACTGAGCAATCAACAATAGTGAAAAAACAAGAATTTTATTAAAAAATCAAACATTTTTTTAAACTTTGACAGAATTATATGTCATTTCTTAATAACCAATAACCTGGTGATGTTTCAATGACAAGCTATCATCTCATACCTTGACAATATTTTGATTTCAATATTTCACAGCTATTCGTTGCTATAATTTCATTCCCTATATTTGACGAACTGTTGGAGGTGGAAAATAACGGCTTGTTGATTTGATAATCCTGGTGAAATCCACCCTTAAACTATAATATTATGCATTATATATTGTCATTATGCAGCGTCGTCAAATAACAACTGATCATTTAGTAACTTTTTAAGCATTCTATATTGTCAACCGACATGGCAGTACCTGGAATTGCTTCGTGTATCATAGCAGTGCAGGGATGTACTTAATGAACGTCAACGTGCAAATTAATATAAATTGAAGAAAAAAAAAGTTCTCCAATTTGTTTTTTTTTTCAGCATAATGACTATATTTAAAGCATACTATGGCGACAATGTCAACGTTTTATCTTTGTTTTTGTTTACCCTTGTTAAACTATTATCTCTTAGTTTTTGTGAAGAAAGCAGTTTCTGAGAGCTGAGTAGTACAGGTATTTTTAGTCATTACCCTTTCATTTTCTAGTGTCAATCATAACAAAATGCCTCGAGTTTGAAGACGTCCAAATTGACACCATCGTAGCGACTTTGACAGGAGTAGAATTATTAGCTATCGAGATGTTGGTTTGACCTATCGCGAAATTGGCCGTCCTGTTAATTGCACTGCAATGACGGTAATGCGTGTGTGTCGTGTGTGGATAGAAAATGGTAGAGGAACACGAAGAACTGGTCCACTGATCTGGTTTCAGCTTTCAATGCTTCGGCGGTTGCAGGCTTGGTGACATAAACTTGTGACTTCAGATAGCCTCAAAGCCAAAAGTCCAACGGTATTAAATCGCACGATGCTCGTCACCGAACCGGGACGACTCGACCAGGAGCAAACTTGTGAAAAACTGCCTATGTCTCACGAGCAGTATGGCATGTGGCACAACCCTGCTGAAACCATTTGTCATTTCTAATTGTGGCACAATAAACTGAGCAATAATTGCAGGATAACGTGCGTCATTCACTGTTAGTGGATTACATGCCTCGTCGTCAAAGAAAAACGGTCCGATAGTTATTTCAGTGCATAGTGCACACCTAACAGTTACACGTTTTGGATGCATAGCTTTCTCTTGAATTAGTCTTGGATTGCCTGTGCGACAAATGTGGCAGTTTTACCTGTTGTCGAACATGGGCCTCATCGCTAAAAATGAGTTTATCCGCAAAATCAGCATTCACGTCCTGTTGTACACTCTCGCGAACTGCTCTGACATTTTCTTCTGAACGACCTCATCTCATATGTTTCACATCATTAAGTGAACCAATACTTCCAAATTCTTGGATTATTCTTTTGACAGTAGAAGGGGTAGGAACATTATTCCGACCGAATATTAGCTGCACTTTTCGAATCGTTACAATCAAACTTTCACCACTTTGGTAATAATGTTTAAGAATTGGGATGCGCTGTTCTATTGTGTAATGATTCATTTTCGTCAACTACCGCCTGTCTACTATCGAACTGTCATGTGACAAAAAGGCGCGTATTTCAAATATTGCATTCTTATTCTTACTTTAATCATAATTGGTTTAGTTTTTAAGATCAATTTCTAATATTTAAGGCACCAGCAAATCAAAGTTCCCAAACACGCATAGTTCATTTACCTCCTGCGGAAGTCAATAAACCCGCACGCCTCGCTCCATGTCCCAAAACCAGCTCCATAATGGGAATTTCAATAAGGAAAAGCGCTTCTAAACAATCTGCACCCTACCCGAACTAGACATCCTAGATCACGGATCCCCTTGCCTCCTCTCAATTCCAGACCTCCTCTTCTAAATTCCATTGGAATATCGATTTTACAATCAAGCTCGTCTGTGGCGAGAGTACACTTGCCGCACGTGTTCGCAAACGATCCAGGGAATGTAAAAAATAGCTGATATCGGTATCGGTTTTTGATCTGTTGTACAGCGCCAAACGACATCGATAAGAGCGATTCTATAAGATAGGATAGTAGATTAAGTCCAAATTGGAAATAGTCAGCTAGCATAACATATCCCATTATAAGAGCTTGGCGTTGGGATGATGTATCCCAAAGAAAAAATGCATACTTTATTTATGTTAACGTTCACGATCTTGAATACATCGATAAAATTGCAGACGAAATAATTAAAGCATTATACAGGGTGTTTCAGTTTATTGTTGCATAACTTTAAGATTCGATAGAACTTTTAAAATTAATGCATAAAGTCTGTATAAACATGGGTCGAAAAATGCGTGGCTTCCGAAATACAGGATGTTTAAATTTACTTTCTAAAATAGTTTTTTTTTATTTCGAACAATATTTGGTGTATAACAGTGAAAATTGGTATACAAGGGTTTTTTGGTACGACAAAACGAACCATGTGCATAGTTTTACTGTAGCCGCTAGAGGGCGCTCTCTACTGTACCTGTAGTGTATTAAAATGACCGAAAAATTTTTCTTAGTGCAATTTTTTTCTTTTGATTAAAAAAACTG